CTGCCCCCTCGGGCCTGCCTGCCAGAGCCCGCCAGCGCTAGCGCCGGGAGGGCAGGGAGAGCAGCGCCGGGAGGCCTCTGCTCCCCGGCTGTGCATAAAAAACAAACTGTTTATGTTCGCTACGCACCCGAAAGTGCGGGTTTCTGTTCCCATCCCCCAGCGCGGCCCTCGGGCCGGCCGGAGAACAGGCCCTTGCCCCCGGGCAGGATGGTGCCTTGCTGGCAGTGTGTTAAGTGTGGGCATTGCTGCTTGGTACTCACCAAAGAGACGTGCCTTGTGTCAAGTTTTCAGATCACGAGGAGCGGCTGTCTGGAAGCTCGAGTGAGGAGGATGAGGATGATGTTGAGGCTGCCCTGAAGAAGGAGGTTGGCCAGATCCGCGCCTCAACGGAGCAGAAGCTGCGGCGGTTCCAGTCGGTGGAGAGTGGTGCCAACAACGTGGTCTTCATCAGAACCCAGGGCATAGGTGGGACATAACTGAGGCTGTGGGGATAAACACAAACACTGCTCTTGTATCCCAAGCAAAAATGGAATTTCCCCTTCCCTTTCGCATCGCCACAGAGTTTTGCCATGAGTGGAGTTGCTAGAGGTAGAGGAATCTGCTTTGACAAACTAATCTTTGGTTATCCAGTTTGGTAGAGTACAACTCTTCACAGAAAAGGATTTGAGATTGTCAGAAATGCAGCCAAGCATGTATTTCCCCCCAGTTTATTATTTAGAGGTGGGAAGAGGGGAGAAAAATGTCTTGAATTTGTTTCTTATCCCTGGCTGTTTTTCTTGTAGAACCTGAGAACCTGGTGCACCATATATTACAGGATATGCATGCCACTAAAAAGAAGAAAACAAGAGTAATTCTGCGCATGCTGCCTGTTTCTGGAACCTGCAAGGCTTTTATAGAGGATATGAAAAAATTCACAGAAACATTTTTTGAGCCTTGGTTTAAAGCCCCAAATAAGGGTACTTTTCAGATTGTTTACAAAGCTCGTAATAACAGTCATATGAGTAGGGAAGAAGTAATTAAGGAATTGGCAGGTATGTATGGATTTCCCATCAAACTAAGAACAAGTATATAAGCAACCCATGACTGCATGCATAGCATAGGTCAGATGATTAAAAGTGGTCTCAGTGGGCATAGATATTTGTTGCTTAAAATATGCATGCTGAATTACAAAAGCTTCTCGTAAGCCTTGAAAAAGCTTGACATCAGTATTCTTTGTTCTTGGTGTCCTAAGAGACAAAAAGCAGAAGACAGCGTTGAACATAATTTGGAGTGTCAGTTACACGTGCTTTGAAATTACTGCCATCAGGCTTTCTCTCTGGAGACTGTAGTGAAATAAAGTTACTATTTCCACTGAATACACGACTTAAATAGCTCCACCTCACTCGAGTATTTTGTTTCGTGGTAGTTGCAGTGGGAGTTTTTCAGTTACTTGGGTCCTCCTGGTGGTATATTTTAAGAGCTTTGCTCTTTTAAGCAATTATAAAAATGAGTAATTAGTTACAGCTCAGGGGAATGTTTCCTTCTCTTTAGCTCAGTTTTTGTCCTTTCAGTAGGGTGTGCTTATATGAAAGTTTTTCTAGCATCTTTTAAACTACATCTTGTTTTACAGAAATTGTGGACATCCTCAATCCAGAAAACAAAGTCGATCTTAATAACCCCCAGTATACAATTGTGGTGGAAATAATAAAAAACATCTGTTGCTTGAGTGTGGTGAGAGACTATGTGCTGTTCAGAAAATACAATCTACAGGAGGTGGTGAAGAGCAATAAAGAAGACACACGACAAAACCCATCAAGTCTGACAGAAGAACAGAACTCGAGGGTAGTAAAACCAGAAACCGAAGAGGAGAAGAGCTCCCAAGAAGTTAAACAAGAGAACAAGAATCAAGGTGAAACAGAAGCTGAGCCCCAGGGGAATGATGCCCTGACAGTGTAGAAGATGTGGTAGAAGGGAAAGACAAATGCAACTGAAACCTATTAAAGTTGCCCTAGAATCTGAAAGGGTGTTTTAAAGAGGAGAGTGGGTTTTGTTTTGAAATCTTGTTTTTAAAATCCACATGTGTAAGAATTTCAGTGCTCCTTGCAGGTGGAGCTGACATTGCAGCAGATGTAAAGATGCTCACCTTTCTGGTGAAGCTTGCTGTCATTCTTCTACAGCTTTATTCTGCATTGCCTTTACCCAGCACAAGAAGCACAGTGTGTGTGCATGCACATGTAAATGTGGCCATCCTGACATACTGACACTCTTACATCTGATGGCTGCAGAAACCAAAAGGCAGTGCAGGATCAGCTGGAGAGGAAGTACTGACAGATGAGATCTGAGAAAAACAGTTTGCAGAGGGTTTTTAAGTGATCTGACAACTTGTGTGATTGCAGAATTCAGATACAATTTTCTGCATGAACAACAGAATGAGTAAAACTGATAATTTCCTGTATGATGGCAGGTTCTGTGGATCAATACAACTTGCCCTACAAGGGGATGCTGAATCTTGAAAATGAATGGAAAGAACTGCTATGACCAAAATACTTGAATGCTATGGGACAAGTTAAGAGTCATCGATCTGACTGTTCTAGAACAGCAGAAGTACAGTGCAGGCATTGCAGATGGTTTTAGCAAAAACTACATGTGTGTTTACATTAGCTGTGTATACAGCAGGTAGTGGTTTATAGGAGATCCTGTAGTCACTGAACAGAATCCTTTTGAGCAATTTCCTGCAAATAGCCTTTTGCTGGTCTTCCCAAACACTTAACACTTGGGGGGGTTATAAAGTCTTTTTTTGTTTCTATTTTTTCCTTTGGTAACAAAATTTGCATTTAAATACTGCTTGAAAACTCAGAACAAAGAATTCTATTATACCATACTAGGTAAGAGGAATCAAGTTTAATTTTTTGTACGTTTTAGCATTATAGTATTAGTTTTGTTTCATATTGAAAGTAAAGTTAGTGAGTCTTTCCATTGCCTGTTACAGCAACTCTTCTGATGTCCCAGTGACTTCTAAAAACTAACTAGAACCAGTGCAGCTGTAACCTGCTTTCCAGAAGGGTTTTGTTTCCTGTACAACTGTCTAGCTTTAGTATTTAATTTCTAGCATAAAAGTCTGTGGGTTGCTAATGGGAAAAGACTCATCTTGAAGAATGTTCACTTGTTACTTGTCTTGGTTTAGTGGAAAGAATGTGTTCAAGTCCCTCAACAGCATTTAATTTTAATTTTCCTCTTCTCTCAAAATTTTTTTGGAAGTTGGAAAATTAATATAACTTTTTTTCTCAAATCCTGTCTCCCTTACTATCCATTTATTAAAGCTCTGCTTTCTTATCCCAATCGGTGTTTTCTTTAAATTTTAAAGCTTTTTGTCTGTGGATTAAAAACAGCAACGTCTAGGTGAAACATAGGAAAGCACCATTTGAGAGTAGACAAAGGCCAACAGTGAGTGTTTATTGGTGGCTGATGTCAGTGGTGATTCTAGACAGCCTGCTGATCCTACTAAGGACAAAGACAGACTCATGGATAATTCCTGGCTTTCAGAAGACATGGCTGAGTAACTACCATCATCTGCCAAGCCCGTGTCTGATATTTAGATGCTGCCTGTGCTGCAGTCTTAAAGATGTCTGTGTTCTGTTACTTCTGATGGTTCATAATTTGCACATACTGAACATTTGTTGTTAACACATTAATTCCTAAATCTCAAGACTTTCAAGACATCACAATCAAACAGGGTGCTTAATTTTGATGCATTTAAGATCTGTGGTAATTTCTGAGATCTTCATTATATGAACACGCTGCTCCTTCACCTGGTAACCACCTGATTCTGCTCACACCATAATCCTGAAAAGTGTTCAGCCTTACTAAGTAGACTTGATTTTTGTTAAGCAAGAACATAAGCATTTAAAACCCGCACAGTTGGAGTTTTTCAACCTTGTGCATTATTACACAATCACTGCCTAACAGGTGAACTATAATGCTATATTGGTGCTTACAGTTGTAATAAAAAAAGCTCCATTGTGAATGAAATTTATAGAGATTGACTTCTTGAGATTGCTTATCAAAACTAAATCTGTCCACACTCCTTGTTCCTCAGTTCATTCTGTCTGATTTTCCCAGTGTTTGTCTTTGGCAGCTGCTGCACAAATTCAATCTGATTCAAAAGAGGAAAAGTAAAAAAGCAGATTTTGTTTAAACTATTTTTTTTCTTCCATAACAGCATGGGTCTCCATGCTACTTAATTTCAGTAAGAATTTGCTGACTGGGGCAATAACTCCAATGTTGTTTGGGACTGTCCTGAGTCTATTTTCCACAACTGTCTTTAAAATAATACTTGTAATTTTTATTGCAAAACCCATGTTTGGGCTTTTTCTTCAACTGAGCATAACCTTTTTTCTAGCCTCCCCAGGATTAAAAATGGTTTCTGGGATTTATTTTTTTAATACATTCATGTTTACTTGCCTTTCTAGGGTATTTGTGTGGTGCAGTGAGTTTCTTGACATGATCATTCACAGGCCAGGTTTTTGGATCTTGTGAAAGGAAGGAGACAAGTGCTTTTACCACCTGCAGAGGGAAAATAAATAAAAAATTCAGCATTAATTAAACTAGAGCAACTTAACAAATGAGGCAATTAATTGAGAGTGTATCATACCTGTACGGTAGAGCAAAATTTGCTTTTGTGTAAGCAAATTTAAAATTAGGATGAAAAGCATTTCTACCTTACATTAGTAAAGGTCCTAAGTAATACATGATAAAATTTTAAAGTGCTGCTTCAAAATTTACAAGAGTTCTGTAAAGGACTGAAGTACTTAGATGCTAGGGCCTTTTCTGTAAATATATGTTGTTAAGGAATATAACTCTTCAAGGCAGTGGGCCAATGTGTACATCAGTTCTTACCAGAGCAACATTTATACTCAGGGTCATGTTCTTTAGGAAACTAAGGTTTATATTTTGATTTAAACAACAAAAAAGTAAAAAGGAAGGAATATGGGATACACAAACTACTGCTCCCTTTGCTTTGGGTAAAATGATGGACAAGTTTATGTAACTATATTAAAAGTCTAATAAATTAAGTGGAAGTTGAGTGTTATGAATAGGACAGGTAGTGATAAATAAAAGCTAGGGGAAGACCTCTCATTCAGCAGCCTTCCCTGCAGCCACACTGAGTGTAAAAGTAGCCTCTAATATCAGACTTCATGTTCGCAAGGCCATGAAATTTATACAAAAATAAAAGGAAACTAGCAACTGCCATTTTAGAAAGGAAACAGGATTAAAATCTCCAAATAACCTCTACATGTTAGAAACCTACACTCTTCCATGTAGGTGCTTTGAGCCATTTGGCCTTAGATTAAGGGATTAGCCCTTTGTGTTAGATTAAAACTCAGATTGACTTAAAAAACTTGAAAATAATCTCTTTTAAGAACGAGCCAATCTCACAGCTTCAGTGTTTTCCAGTATTGAAGTGCCTTTCTTAAGGGTTACAGCAGCATAATTAAAATATTATTTTACATGTAATTCAGGTCTTTTATAATTTCAATAGTGAAATACAGTAGGGGGGAGGTTTAAGTAATACCATCAACTCCTACCAATTGAAAGGAGCTAGTAACATCCTGTACCTAGAAGAGTCATGCTGTAAAATCCTTCCTGTATTCTATTCCTGATCAAAGAACAATCCCCTCGTGGTTATACCATCTTAAAACAGCTAATCCCATAAACCTAAGAGGTTTAGTTTTGTGGCCTGCCTGGACAACAATATGAAATATGAGTAACTGTTCATTGTGAGCATGGTGTTCTTACACGTAAGGTTGCTCTTGGATCACACTGTGACATGGCATGTACAAAACCACATGTGCCCTGGAACCACAGACCAAATATGCTCCCAAATGCTGCCTTTATCTAAGCAGTATCTGACATGTTTCACATGATGTCTGAGGGAGTCAAGTTCATCCAGTATCTGTTGAAGACAAAGGTGGCCAATATAAGGGAGTCTGCAAGTGGAAAGTAAGAATGTGAGGGTTTTAGGGGGTTTTACTTTTGGTTTTTTGCTTGGTAAATTTCATCTGAAACTCAAAAAACTCAAATAAATGCCTTTTGCCTTGCCTTTGCACTGGTGGCAAGGATAAGGAAAATAAAACAGTATCCTAACTCCTTATTTTAGCCTGGATTTACAGGTGAGTACTTTCTAAAATGGAGGCATATACCATCTCAAGCAAGATCCTTGCTTCCTGCGTACAATTCAGCTGAGGAGACTAAACAAAGGGACATATACAGTCTTGTGGGAACCTTATCATCTACTGTAATTTTATCACATGCAAAAACTCTTCTGTTTGCTTCTCATGTCAGAGCTGTAAAGGCATAAGTAGCTGAATACTTTACCTTCCACAGATAAAAAAACCCAGACCAAAGCTTCCATAAGAATGTTCAACAATTCTGGGAGAGCCTGTGGTGCCACTGGTAAAATAGATTATCATTGGGTCTTGGCTTTTTGTCTTCATGCAGTTATGGTTGGAAGGGGCAGCCCTTAAAAAATGAAAGGTTATATCAAACAGTGAAACAGATTTGTTTTCTCTTTGTTTTTGACCTCAGGCAATTATATGCTTTCTAGCTGGAAAGCAAAGCAGTATCCATTTCAGAGCTTAGGGGTATGAAAGAGGAGAGATGCACCTGCAGAACCCTCATGGCACAGCCTCTCCTGGGACTTGTATTTGCTTGCCAGTTAATAACTCAATTAGTTGTTCTGAAAGGTCATCAACAGCTTTACTACACAGCATGTTTGCTATTGCACTTCGTACAACAGCAGATGTGCTCGTGTACTGCATAGTGGGTTTACAACAGAACCAGGAAATTTTGAGATAAATAATCCTGGGCTATTTTGGTTCACTGGTGTTTTTCTGTTCCCATAAAATACAGCCTTGGTCACAGAGTTCAACTACTTACATCTTCTAAAGTAAGAATAA